AGGACTATAAACATAAAGTACCATGGTACAAAAACAGCGCTGTAAATGGTTAACCTATTAAATAATCATGATTAAGTGTATGATAGCCCAAAAAGTCCTTTTGTCATTTTTAATTTATTATTAAACAGTACTAAAAAGTAAGTAAGTAGTTATAAATTTATACTCTATTATGGTTAAGATTAAAAAAAGTTAATTCAATTTTTTGAATTATAAGTATTTATATTTTGATAATGCAAATAATTTTTGTGCAATATATGGTTTTATTACACTGTAATTTATTAACATCAGACTCTGAATCTGGGCTAGTAATTAACTATAAATATTTTTATACATAATCAAATTAATATCCAAATTGTTACACAAGTAAGAATATGTAACATTACATAATTTTGGTTTTAGTGAAATTAATTTTATGAAATTAAACACAGCTAAAAAGTTTTTAGTCAATTTAGTTATAGCTTATAACTTATAAATTATACTATCATGTGTATTTAGTATAAATGCTATATAAATTTATTAATCTATTCACTTGTTATATGATATTGAACAATATGTCTTATTGAGAACAATAAGACATATTGACTAATCAATAACTTATTGATTAACTATACATTTTAGAAATAACGAACCTTATGTACTATAAAGTAGTTCAATACTTTATCTCAATAGGAAACTTATTAATGCTTTTTTATATTTGATAACAAATTACTCAAACTATTATTGTTAGAAGTGTTGAGAATATAAAGAGTATTTTTATTCTAAATACAAAACATATTATTTCATTATTTAATAATTAAACAATGAATTACAAAACATTATTATTAACTTTTGTATTTATATGTTGTGTTTATGGAGAAACTAATTTAAGTTTCCAAATATTTATGGGTCGGCCAACCGATAGATACGGTTTCATTAGACCACCGGTTGTTAGTAATGACAATCAGTTGTATGTAAAACCACAGGACAACTGGTTTGACCAGAGATTGGATCACTTCAATAAATCCAACGACAGAACTTTTAAACAGGTAATTAATGCTTAAATATAAAATACTGGAATTAAGTTATATATCAATAATTAATATACAAATGAATTATATTTCTATATAGCTCTATTATGTATATAACGATACTCATTACAAACCGGGTGGACCAGTATTTCTATTTCTATCTGGTGAATTTGCAATGGACGAGCCTTATACTAATCCCAATACTTATTGGTTAGAAATGGCCAAAAAGTACAACGCATTGCCCATTATGTTAGAGCACCGGTATTACGGCCGGTCAGTGCCCACACAAGACCTGTCGACTGAAAATTTAAAATATTTAACCCTTGAATTGGCGCTCAAAGACGCGGAACAATTCATTTTGGGAATGACTAAAAAGTTGTCCATTGAAGGCAGCAAATGGGTTGTGTGGGGTCTGTCCTATTCCGGCAAACTTGCCGTTTGGTTTCGGGAGAAGTACCCCAACATAACTGTCGGTGCCATAGCCTCGAGCGCACCCGTCGGGTCTAATATGAATTGCACGGGTTATTTGCGAGTCGTAAGCGAGGCGTTGGGAATTGTGTGTTCAGATAATATTAGGTATAACATTTTATAATAGTTTTATAAATTAGATTTTATGATGATGAAATTTCATCGATAGGAAAGCCAACTACGAGATGGAAGACCTCCTGAAAACACCGGAAGGTGTCGTAAAATTGCGCAAAATATTGAATTTGTGCGATTCGTTTGACGGCAAAAATATGGATGATATCCGGTATTTGTCACTACTGTTAGCCATGAATGTCGGCGGATCTGTTCAAAGCAATGCTGGTATCGATCACATCATTAAGACAATGAACGACCCCTCAGGCGGTACACCACTGGAAAGGTATGCGAAGGTAATGCCTTCTCAAGTTATGGGACAACCGCTTAAGTGCGCGAAAATAAAATATGCGGATTATATCAAAAACTTACAAAATACAACTATTGATCCCAAGCATTTTAGTAAGTAATTAATTAGTACATTTACTCCATAAAAATTATTTATATAAATTACTTATTAATATATTTTATATACACTATAATCAAATATAAATTTAATTAATAAAACTGATATTATTTTACTGTATTACTAGTGAGACAATGGACGTATCAGACGTGCACTTCTTTTGCCGACTTTGTGACCAGTGATCTGCCGAACAGTCCTTTTGGACACAATCTTCCCGTCGAGTTCTATACCAAACAATGCACTCAAATATTCGGTCCACAAATCACAGCCCAAACTATACAGAAAGCGGTCGACCGGACAGTCGCCACATATGGGGGCAAACGGCCGAACGTAACAAATGTTGTGCTCACAAACGGCTCACTCGACCCCTGGAAGGCCAGCGGTATTCTCGAAGACCTAAACAATAGCACTAAAGCGGCGGTCATTGAGGGCAGCGCTCATTGCGCCGATTTCTTTGGCTCAAACCCAACGGATACCCAGAGTATGAAAAACGCCCGCAAATTAATTGAACAACAAATCGGCGAATATTTGAAATAAAATAATTAATTGATTTTTTAATTTATAAAAATGAATTTTACTTTTAAATTGTCATATTTTAACCTAAAAATTTTAACCTATTTTAAACTAAAATTATAATAAATATTTTTATTAAATTTTGTGTTAATTAAAATTTTGTCATTTAGAATTTATTATTAAAATATATTTGGTAATACTTTTTTATATTAAATTGCATTTTAATAAATTGACCATTATGAAAATCTCTTGTCAACTAATTTGAACAAGTTTTAGTTAAAGATCCTATCAGTGTTAAAATACATGTTACAACATGCAACTATTTGTAATGCATTTTAAATTCGCAATAATAGTTATTAAATGCAGTTTGTTCACATAGATCACTGCTGAATAATACTTCAGTACTAGGTAGTTATATATTATGGTTAAGGTTAAAAATGTTTATTCAAATTTTTAAGTTATAAGTATTTATATTTTGATAGTGCAAACAATTGTTGAGCATTAACTTGTTAAATTGTTATATGGTTTTATTACACTGTAATTTATCAACATCAGATTCTGAATCTGGGCTAGTATAATATAAAGTTTTCACTTTATGATCATGAATTGCTTTTTTAAATCGTACATGTTATTAATGTGAATTTACTTAATTAAGTTAGAGTGATTGCATTTTTGTGCTATTTTATTATAAAAAGTATTTATTTTATATTTTATTTGTAATTACTTTCAATTAATTCTAATCAATTTTTTAAATTTATTTTTACTAAATGTGCTAAATGTAATTAATAAACAAACATTTTATTATACAATTAATGTCTTTCTTTTATATAAATTATATTTACTTCAATTGTTTTATATTTTCAATTCATTCCTATTATAACTGAAGGCTTGAAATAAATATAAGTGAAAATTGTTTGAAAATATTTTATTTTTGGTTAAAAATGTGTCAACTCTTTAGCAAAAACTCTTTCGATAGGTTTGGCGACGATTTGTGTCAACAATTGTTAACATATCTTACATTTAAAGACAGATTTCGTTGTGAATGTGTTTCAAAACAGTGGCAAAGAGTTGTGTTTAAATCCCAAACAATATTAAACGAATGGGAATTGAGTTGTAGTAATAATAATCGCAAAACTTGTGACAAAATATTACCCATATTTGAGACAATAGTAAAAAAGTGCGTTAATATACGAGAAATTAATTTTGTTAACAATAATAACAATCAGCAAACTATTGATAATTGTATTGAACTAATCATTAAGTATTGTTTGCGTTTAAATGCAATCGACATCCGCTTTAAACCCAATATAAGCGCCAAAATATTAGAGAAATTTTTCGGGAAATTTGCCCAACAATTGAAAACAATTAGTTCTCCGCAAAACAGTCATAACAATTGCATTGAAAATCACATCAAACGTTGTGTAAATGTAAATGAAATCAATTTCTATCCTTTTGGAGACATTTTGCTGTTTATTACCGACAAGAATGAGATTGTATTTAAAAAACTTGTAAAAATTCAATTGGTTTACGAAATCAATAATAGCGATAAATTTGATGTGTTATTCAATAGCTATAGAAATAGCATTAAATCAATTGAATTGATTTGCGATGAGAGATGCGATGAAAAGGCATTTAACAAATTAACTGTTTGTTTGTCGCAAATGAAAGCATTGACTGATTTACACATTGATTACTACTATATTAATGACTCGTTAATCCCTGAAATACCCAATCAATTGAGCAAATTGTCGGCAAATCACCAAAAACTTAAACGATTATCTCTGAGAATCGATATAAAGTGCCCGAAAATAATGGTAAAAATTATTGAGACAATTAATGATAGGTATAAAAACATTAAACGTTTGCATATATGGTCTGAAGTGTCACCAAAAATAGTTTTATTTAGTAAAATGTTAAACGAATTAAAATTATTGACACATTTAACCCTTATTTCATACGGCTATACATTTGTGGACACATTTGTAGCCGAAATAGACAAACATTTACCACGACTTCAATATTTATATCTGGAAAATACAGACTTTAGTGAAAGAGGTTTGAAATCATTAGCAAAACTTAAATATTTGCAAAGTATTCAATTGTTTAGTAATCAAAACACCACACAAATAGCTGTCAATAATAATCCGATCAAAAATTGTCCTAAAATTAGGCAAATTGTTTTGAGAAATGAAAATTCTTCATAAACATTGTGGTAAAATTTATTACATTTAATTGTCATTTGGTTATAAAAACTTAATTTAGTTTTGATTGTTTCATAAAAATAGCATTTGTTTTATTGTATGTGTAATAAATTCATAACAAATACCTGTATATTATGTGAGTTTACGCCGACTCTAAATATTGTAAATCTAAATACATGTAACATTTCAAGGATTTTCTCTACAGATAGTCATTTGTAGGCAAACTTAATAACGATTTTCAAACGAAATAATAATAAATAACAAACATTTTGTTCTGCAATAAATTATTGATGAAAACATTGAAAATATTTTACATTTTAATGAAATGTGTTGTGAATTACAATTAAATTAATGGCAAAATGTATGCCAAAGAGTGCTTCGACCGATTTGGTGATGACTTGTGTGGACACATATTGTCTTACCTGTCATTTGAGGACCGATTCCGATGTGAATGTGTGTCCAAACAGTGGCAGAGAGTGATATTCCGTACAGAATATTCTGTATGGCTGTGCCATCGGCTCAACGCTAGAGATGTGCCACTGTTTGAGACAACACTTGTCAAGTGCTGTCAACACATCATGAGATGCGATGATCTGAACGGCTATTCAAACGATATGATAGACTTAATGGTCAAACACTGTCCACAGATCCGTGAATTTCACTTCTTGACGGATCACAGCCTCAGTTCTCATACCATTAAAACACTGTTTCAAACGTACGGCAAAAGTCTGGACAAAATTGTCCTAAATTACAGCCAAAACAATATCTTCAATGGCATGAAATGGTGTCCAAACCTGCGCTCAATTGAGTCCAACCGTATGCCAAACAGCGTGAGAGTCGGGCATCTGATCCACGCAAAGACCGACGAGTTTTTGTGGCCAAAGTTGCGTAAAATTCAATTACTGTACGCCAGGGATGAGGACAATAGCGATCGATTCCAGCGGTTTGTCGACCGATACGCGGATCAGTTGACATCACTCGACGTCCAACTGCACAGACACTGTGTCCACGAGTCGTACGATCGGGTGATGAGTGGTGTGTCTCGGCTGACATCGCTCCGGGAGTTGAAGCTCAAGATTAGCTACAAAACAGATAACCAGTTCTTGAGGCCGAAGCACTTCCAGGCGATCGGCGCTCAGTGTCGGCAACTCAAGAGTTTGTGGTTTTGGTATGGATTCAGTGGCGGTGCCGATGAATGTGTGGATCTGTTGACAACAATAGGCAAACACTTTAAACAATTAACTCGTTTACAACTTTACGCATATTTTCCGCACGGATTTCATCTGTTGTCGAGCCATGGATTCAATGGCTGCGAGAGATTAACGCATTTACGGGTGATATCTATTGATAATCACGCAATTGATGACCAGTTCTTCGCAAATATTGGCCACAATTTACCGAAACTGAGAAACATATACCTATCAAACGCTGTGGTGACTGATCTGGCATTGGATCAGTTGTCACAACTCAGACATCTTCAGACATTAAAACTCTGCGGCAGTCAAGACATCACCCGATGTGCTGTCGATAGGCTTATGAAGAGTTGTCCCAAAATCAAGAAAATTGTTTTCAATAACTTTATTAGTTGTTTGACTTTTTGATAGACTTTTAAAAGTACTGTTAAAAGTAAATTATTATTACTAATCTCGTAGTAATTAAAAGTTTAACAACTTTTATTTATGATAATTATATTAATAATTAATGAATAAATAATTAATGAATAATTAAACTATTAATGCAATTATTAATTTTATTATGATAAATTATTATAAATGACTCATTTTGTTATTAAATGTGAAATGTTATGACTATTTTTGCATTAATGAACTATGAATTGTAATACATGTAAAAGTATTAATAATAAAATCTTAATGAAAAGTCAATGGAAATAAACTGTACTAACAATGAGTTAATATTATTTTTCTGTTTGTGAGAAACAGACTGTAGTTTTCATTTCATCAGTTTTCAGTCACCAATCGAGTCGTCAGTCTCTCACTAAACACTTGCCTCTCAACGACTGATCGATTGTTTTTTGTTGAAAAATTAAAAACATTTTGAATCCAATTGTTTTTGATAATAAAATCGAAACACTTTTCGTCGAAACTCTCCTCCCTTTCTATCGCATCAACGAATCGAAACGTTTCGATCGCACTTCGAAACACACTTATCATTCAAAGTCAAGTCAAGTAAAACCGTGCGAACACGACATAATGATAACTACGAGCCCTACCACTGCCGGCCCTGGACTGGACTGCACTGTTGTCGTCGACCCCTTAAGCGCGGCCACCGCTGACGGGTTGGCACGACTGTCGACAAAATTGTTACGACAGTTGACTGTGC